TAGGTCAGTCGACGCTGTGTTTATGGCCAATTAATCTGCTCCATTCCCAGTGGGTTGTCTTCATCAGGATAGTGGCTCATTGTTTTAGTAATCCTATTGTCTGACACTGAACAGACTCTCATCTAACGGGATGTCCACTTCTCAGACCGGCTGGCTGTCTATCTTAGTTACTGTGTCTCTGACTGACTTACTGACTTCATGAGTCAGTGTGGCTCTGTCTGCTGCCTTAAATCATAGTTGTGTTTACTCTCATCAACAGCAGGCTTTGTTGTTTAGAGTGGACCAGTCTGTCTGCCTGTCTCTGTTTTTCTCATGCAGTCCCATTGGTAGCATTCTGTACCACTGAACTGGTCAGCAATAGAGAACAGGTGACTGGATTCTTAAGAAAGTGAGTAAAATATCATAAATGCACAATAATTACATTCCATCTGATTACTTTTAAGGCTCAAGAGAAGATTAGAAGGAAGCAGCAAATAGTTTCCATCTAAATACAAAGGATCCCTTGTAAATGGAATCAGTTTTAGAGGGGTTGTGCTGACAGAGCACATCTCACGGCATAAATGAAAATATTCCGTTATTTTTATAAGACCTTCCAGAGTGGGAACTTGTTGGGCCATGTTTCCAGAGCTGGGATAAATACAGTCACTGACAGTTACTTCTTTCCCCAGGAAAATCCTTAAGGTAGTCTCCAGAGTGTCTGAGCACTGTTATGTAATTTAACTTGTCCACTAACAACAGTAATCTGAGTGCGTGACGTTCATGGATTTGCATTGTACACGGAGCGGCGCTGTGTTTGTAGTGACGTTGCCAAACCTGTAATTTAAAGAGCATTTAATTTTTGCTTCCATTCTGAAATCATATGACACCTTTTCCATTTCTGTGGGACAGCTTTAACTGCTTGCAATTTTCATTTTGTCATGTGTTTACACTGATCTCTATCACAAACACAACCACACACATGCACCAACACAGTATTGCTCACACATCCAGGCTTGATTTATCCTAAGTGACTTGATCAGGAGTGAGCATGCTTGTATTTGGGTCAGGGAGGAGGCAGCCTTACGAACAGACACTCACTGCAAATGGACTTACACACACGCAGACATGTAGACACTCAGACTAATCTGTTAAAGAGGCTAACACACAGACAGCAAAATAGGATGACATGGCAGGCTGTGTAGGCCTGCGTCTGCTTACAGTATCGTTATGGCAGATACTCTATTCTTTTACTGGCACTAAAGGCCATATTGTCAAGAACCAAACGTTAACCAAGTGCTTAGTCAGAATTGTGTTCTTGTGAGTATTTGTTTTTTTTTGTCAAAACCCTTGAATATCTGTTTGGGTTAAGACAGCATCAAAGTCACTCTGCTTATAATTACCAACCAGACTGTCAGTATCACAGACATTAAGAAACACACCAGGGTTGTGTGGAAGATTGACCTGCAGTTTAGACCATGTAGAATGACATCATAGACACCTGAATCATGCATGAGTCACTGTCTTATTACTTTACCATCAACACTATAATATTATGTTCAGTAATAGCTGTCAACCAGCATTATCTTGTAAATTGTAATTAATCTTATGATGCGGTGTAAAAAAATCGCAAAATTTACTCCAGCCACATTCACTACCAGTAAGTAACTGTATGTAATTGAGAGCGTCCTGCTTTTGTGGAATGGTTATTGAGTTTTACAGCTATAGTTTAAAATCAGAGTTGGCAACTTCAATAAAAATTCCTTTTTACCATATTTGCTGAAACTCTCACTATATCCTGGCAGAAGTTAATGAGACAGTAAATCATGTTCCTCCACCTCCTCCTAATGCTTTTAATGGCATTGCTAGAATCTTCCACGGCTCCAGGAAAACAAACCAATAGAGCCAAGGAGTCTCTTACACAGCCAGTGAGAAAATATGCTCTGGCCAGGGGGCGGTGCTTGGATTTGGCTCGACTGGCAGCAGGGTCACAAACTTTCTGATTTTACAGCTAAACAGTACACTAAAATATGTTTCTGTAAGCATTTAAAGTGATAGTTCAGGTTTTTGGACATGAAGTTGTGTGAAACGCTGACCATCTGTAGCTCTGATGTGACGGTGTCACTACTGTCAACGAGCCTCCTGCTCTGAGAAATCGCCCGTAGCTTACCGGAGAAAAAGTAGTTCTGAAGATGTACGGGGGACACGTAACCAAAAGGTTTTAAGCTACAAAAAAGTATGCATGTGTTTTCTTAGACTATTTCAATAATTTTAAAACATTACGTCAGACCTTGCTATCAATTGGGACTATTTTCTGGCCAGTATCACTCCTGTTTCCTGTTACAGATGTAACCCGTAGGCAACTTTGGCTAACCCACCACCAGAACAAAGCAGAGACTGGTCGTAATCACATATGAATTCACATTTCTATGTGATTGATTACTCATGTCATGGATTTAGCAGTAGCCTAATATAATAAACTAAATGCCTACGGTAAAACGAGGCCGCGTATAATGTAGCTACTCTTCACAACACAACAGGCTATTAGTTCAATCAAACATTTTGTTTTACAGCCAATCAGTTACAGACATCGTTATATAGACTGGTATTAGGTGATATATCTCTCTTTGGGCACAACAGTGCGGAAATTGCGTTTTCCGTTGTCCGTCGGGATCTGTGGGCAGCTGAAGTGAGCTTGACATACGCGCAGTTGCTTCACCCTCGCCGGCTTGGTAGCGAGGTTCATCCCAATTGACACAAGCCAAAGTTGCCTACGGGTTACATCTGTAACAGGAAACCGATGGAATTGGGAGCCAGCTATGTTTTTATTCCCACGGCTGGGGAAATCACAAGTTCGCACCATTTTGGTATTCCTCTGTTTACCTACAGCAGCTGACGAGGGTGTGTTGTGAGCCTGAGCCGGTGTTCGCGCTGTAGTAGTAGGTATATATAGGGCTAGTACATTTTTTTCCTCATTAATAATAGCCTACTGGTTCTCTGTTGGAAACAGCCGATGAAGTTTTCGTTAGCCGTTGCTATCCTGCGCACCTGCACGGCGTGGTGATGAACTGTCTAGTTGATTTCTGTTTGCGTGCTGTCCTGCGGGCCTGCACGGCGGAGTGATACTGGCCAGAAAATAGTCCCAATTGATAGCAAGGTCTGACGTAATGTGGGGATGTTTTAAAATTATTGAAATAGTCTAAGAAAACACATGCATACTTTTTTTGTAGCTTAAAACCTTTTGGTTACGTGTCCCCCGTACATCTTCAGAACTACTTTTTCTCCGGTAAGCTACAGGGCGATTTCTCAGAGCAGGAGGCTCGTTGACAGTAGTGACACCGTCACATCAGAGCTACAGATGGTCAGCGTTTCACACAACTTCATGTCCAAAAACCTGAACTATCACTTTAAGGTGGGAAATAGGCAATGCAGAAAGAAAATCTTGTTTTATATTTGATCAGCGCTGCAGAGTGACAGTTTGACCTTAGTTCACGAGCAGTAATTGATATAATTGACAGCTGTGTTTGAGCCTCCTCAGCTCTGATTGGTTGTTTTTGTTCATTCTAGCAGATGCCATGGGAAGCAGTATGAGGAGGCAGAGGAACATATTTTTTTTCACACATTATCTGTGTCATATGTTACTGTCTGGATATAGTGACCGTTTAAGCAAATATGACAAAAAGTTATTTTTATAAAAGTTACTAACTTAAAAGTTACCAACCAACAGCTTTCTTATCCTCAGGTGAGCATAAACCACAGGTTACACACTTCTTTTTAAAATACAAAAATGTGAAATTATCAGTTATCATATTGGTTATCGGCCATGAGATGCAGGTAATTATCAGTTACCGGTATTAGTTGAAAAAATCCATTTCGTGCATCTGTAGTTTTAAATAAACAGTTGCTGCTATGCTACTTTTCACGACAATTTATCTTTGTTCAGTCTTCATTACCGTGATGTCTCCTGATGGAATAAGTTTTATGCATAAATATTGCATTCAATGTCATACATAAAACTTAAGTTTTCTAACTTGCAGGGACTAAATGTTTTGTTAAAATTAAGTGTAGCAACTGTTGAAAGATATGTGCAACCAGTGGTGCAGCTCACCTGTAATAATATTAAAGCTGCTTTTCACAACACTGTGGTATTATCTATATATTGTATGTCAGTATTAGAATGAAATGCTGTGTAAATTACCTACCGGGGAGACTTGGATAACTGAGTGTATGTTCCCATCAAATAGGTTAACCGAAAGGCTTCTCTTGGTTGTATTACATTTCATATTAAACTGTGGACTCCAAACCCTATTAATGGAGTTCTCTGTTCACTTTCATGGCTGCTCACATGTTGTCCTGGATGATTTTAGGTCACATGAGTCTGTACCACCTTTTGCAGTTTAAAATGAATTCAGCATCTTTTTGTTTTAGGTTTTTACTTTACATTAATGTTGGTGCCATAAACACCTCAAGCACAAACAGATTTAAAAGATGATAGTATATTCTTGTTAACACTGTTTAGTCAAGTGAAAAGAACTGAGTGGTTCTGAAAGGTCCATTAGTAACCTGTGTGTGTGTGTGTGTGTGTGTGTGTGTGTGTGTGTGTGTGTGTGTGTGTGTGAGCGAGCCCATTTGTAACTCAGTCCAGGGTTTCCTGCTTTTCGTTCCCTGCTTCTCCTTCACTCCCTCACTCTTTCTCTCTCGGTTTACGCTTGCTCATTCTAACTCTGTGGGAGACGAGGCTTTTCCGAAAGGAGTCTTTGTGTGTGTTTGAGAGAGGGAAAGCGAGAGAGAGAGAGGGAGAGTGAAATGTTATGGTGAGACAAACAGCAAGCAGGAGAGAGAGAAGGATACTAGCTGACTGTGTTAAGCCTGGCCGCGGCCCAGTCTCACAGTTTCACAGAGCCCAGTTCTGTTTACCTTTGAAAACACAGACTCACCAGGAAAGTACAAAAATCTCACACATTTACAAGTCTTTAAAGGAATACTTCACCCCCCAAATGACCATTTGTGTATCAGTTACTCACCCAGTGTGATGTTGAATTAGTGAAGACTCCTCTGGTGAACACAAAATCCCAAAATGGAGAACTGACATCAGCAAACTATATCAAACCATCTGTTTACACGCTGTCAAGACAACTATTCCGCTCAGTACCTCCCCAAACAGACAGCCTTCCTCAATAGGGAACTGAAGTGAAACTTATTTATCTTTTCTTCAAAGCTATTGAATTGAATTGTGTGTCTATGGTGTTGTAAAGGGTTATTTTTAAAATCTGGGTTTTTATTAGGGCTGGGCAACATGGAGAAAATCAAATATCACAATATTTTTGACCAAGTACCTCGATATTGATATTGCTAGGGTTGACAAAATGTTTACACAGTGAGATTTTTGATAAATAATCATCAGTAAATGAGATATGATGACTAAGTTGGTAAAGGTAGACAATAGAACAGCTGCATCAGTTTACTGTGATGCAGCCTTTAAAGAAAACACAATATTACGATGTACAAAATAAAAATCAATATCTAGTCTCTCATATCGTGATATCTATTAAATATCAATATATTGAACTATTCCTTTTAATGCACATGTGGTGTGTGTTTGGAAACATACAAATGTGAATGTATAATTTTATGTAAATACTTGGTCTAATGTTACAATAATGGAGCATCATCAGGTAATCGGAGCAAAATTTAGCCCCAAACCGGCAGTTATTTACCAAATAAAATAATGAAAAAGTAATTATTGTATTACCAGGAGCTGTCTTGTGTGTCTGTGTCAACGTTTAAGTCTAGTCCTGTTATTTTGTTAAGTGTTATATGTGAGTTGGTTTTGTGCACAGTCACAAAGGTAAAGTTTTTGTGGACCTCAGGAAGAATAGCTGCTGCAATAGAGTAGCTAATGGGGATTCTAAAAAACTAAACTAAAGTTGTACTGCACAGATTGTCTAAGAGTTTGCAAATAGATGTCTTGATATAGTTTTGCTGTTTAACATGGACCCCTATGACTTCAATACATCAAGAATTTTCTTTATTTTTGACTTCTTCAATCACTGCAGGGATGCTAGAAAAAATTGTCTTGTGGATTTAAAAATAACATGGGGTGAGTAATTGATATATGTATTCTCTTGAGGGGTGAAGTTTTCCTTTAAGCTGCCCATGAAAATTATTTAAATGCCCTTTTAGACACAGCACCTTGTTGTTAGTGATTATAAATGATCTGCACTGTGATTAGACTCTTGACTAGATTATAATCAAGCTGTCAAACTCTAAAGTACGGTCTGTCAGTCCCATCATTTACATCATTTGAAAAACACTACATTGCATAATGAGTCAATGACACTATGGGTCTTGTGGGTGAGAGTTAGTTGATATCCGACTCAGCTGTTAATGGTTAACTCACACCAGGTTAGAGTCCGCTCACTGTGCTATGTTCACGTGCATTCTTCTTACGCCGTGCTCTCTTTGCTCTTTACACTGGGTAGGAGTACCTTGAAGGATACTGGATTATACACCACTGGATTTAACACACACATTCTCTCTGAGAGCGTGCCTAATCCTTGGAGCTGGATTTATAAACAGACTGATATATAACACTTTCGGAACACTTAATCAACACAAGGACTGTTTTTTGACGTGAGTGGGATGTTTTTCTTTTGTTATCCAGGGCTAATATTTGTGCAGTGAGGACAGAGAGGGAGTGCGTGCTGAAATGTGTGCTATAGAAAGGCTGTTTGTCATTGTCCGCAGAATGAAGTGTTTGATTTCTGTCTAATCAGCTGCCTCTGTCAGGCTAAGTACAGTTTATGTAGAGCCGAGGTCAAATGTGCAGATAGCTGCCTGCATGTCATTGACGTCTGTCACATCTCCACCCAGGAGCTGTGGTTTGAGGGAGCTGTGCTTTCTTATCTGTTTTTATAGTTTTCATAGAGCTATTGTCAACACAGTAAATTATGTATGGTATGTACCTGAGCCAAACCAAATACCATTTGATCCTAAATATTGCTGCTTTGAATAGCTTTTGGTGCTACAAAAATTATTAAATTCGGGTTTATCAGATGTTTCAGTCGTTTTCTAAAATCACTTGACTGTTGCAACTCAGCAAACCTAATGTTCAAATTTTAGTATTACTTATTGAGTGCATTATCTGATAGTCCAGGTATGGAATATGATTTGATGAGGCATGTTATTAAGTAAAGCTATTGATCATATTCCTTTAGAAAACTCCTTGAAAGCAGGCATTAAATATGTGACAGTATTGCCTAAAAGTGTGAGTGCTTGGGAATGATATTACAGAGGTTGTTATTATGAATTATTAAATTATTATTCAGGGGAGTTTTAGGAGCAGATGGAATAAACAGCTGTTCAGGGTTGGATCATCTTGACAGCCAAAAGGATCAAATTGGCTTATCTGTAGACTGTTATGTAATCTAAGTGAAGAGAAAAGGAGGTGTCAAAAACAAAAACAGAAAAATAGAGCAAAGTCATTGATATTCAGGCTGCTCCTGAGGTGGTGGCAGTGGGTTGTGTTCATTAGGCTGTCATGCTGCGTAACTAAGATTTAACTCGAGACAAACAAAGATGGCATAAACGAACCAAAATGATCTACATAATTTAATTTGTTTTGATAAGATTTAATAAATGTGAGTATGAATGTGAAAACATTGCATCAGATAAGAAAAAGGTATTTACCGGAAGACGCGATTCACTGTTTACTTAATCAAACATCATAAAACCTTGATGGATCAGATAACAGATTGATTTGTGATTTGTACATTTGAGTCTTTCTTGGAAAACCCAGCACAATGTAGGAAATTACAACAAACACCTAAATGTGTCTTTGCCATTGTCATCTCACAGGAGGAGAATGAAGGCACGTGCGCCACCTCCGCCACAGGCCCCTCTACCCGCCCCACGCCACATCTTCAGAAACACTGTACCTGATGGGGGAGGGACATCAGGGATCGATGCTAAGGAGAACATGCTGCGGCCCACTGTGGATTTACAGCTAACCCTACCACAAGGATACCAGACTTGTGTAACTGAGGATGGCAGGTGAGAGGACAGAGGTTTTTGCATTTTTTCTGTAGAATGTGTCATAACCGTTTTTTTGCTCATGAATACCGTTGTGTCATGCAAAAATCCATCCATCCATGTCGTCATGAAATCATTATATCTGTAAGTATGAGGATCTTAGCTGTTGCTCAGCTGAACAATATGATCTTACTGTATGTTGTGACCTTCATCGGCCAGTCACCTGACAAACAGTGCGAGACCCATTTGTCACTTCTAGGTCTGTTGTGGTTGCTGCACCAGTGGGGCCTTGTCAAGGGGTCCAGTGCCCAGTCTCAGCATAAGCTTTGTCCCAGAGAGTTGCCAGATGAAGGCTGTCCTGCTGAAGCTCTCTGACCCTAATGAGGTTTTCTCCTTTGGGGCATAAAATCAGGAAAGCCTCCTTTGTACAGACCAACACGATGCTCTTTTAATAACCATAGAAAAACTTTAGACCAGTAGATGTCTCTTTGCTAATTCTTAGTAGTAGTATAAGTAAGTTGCTATCTTGATTTATTTATTTAAGAGAGCTTTCTACATTTAAATGGCTAGTGTGTAAGAATTAAGGGAATTTAGTGACAGCTAGCACTTAGGATTGCAACTACCTCAAACTTCTCCTGGTTAGAATTCCTTCAGTATTGATTGTTCAGGAGGTTTTTACCAGGAGCTGAATTATGTGCATAGGTCTCTTCCTCTCCAAAACAAATGAATCAAGTGATTAAACCAGTAAAAACATTGAATAAATCAGTTTCACGTTACAAATCGGTGTTCCTCCATTGCTGTTTGGCACATTGCAGACAGCCCACTTGCCCAGCACCTGAAAATGTGCTCATCTATTTTCTCTGATACCTTAATGTGTGATCACCTTATTTTTGATCCAAACATTGAGGAGGTTTTTACTGTGAGCTGAATTGTCTTTTCCTCTCTGAAACAAACAGACCAGGTGATTTCAACTGGTTAAAACACTGAATAAAAATTTTACTGTATGTATTGACACATACAGAAGTAACCCCTCTCACTTATCACTTATGACCCACTAGAAGTATGTAGTGGTGTATTTTCCTGCAGAGGCTCTGCCCTCTGCCTGTATTATCTTCTTTTTATTTTTTGTGTTCAGGATGTTCATGTGCATGTACTCTCATAGTGCTCAGGTGAGGCTAGGGCTCTTTAAAAAGGTAGTAACCAGGTGCCAGACCGTAAGCAGCAGACATTTAAGAGACATGGCACAGAAATAAAGCAAATATAGCAAGGCAAAACGCCAAACAAGAATGAATCTGGAGTTAGCTTTAATTGGCGAGCTGGTTTATAAACAGTAACCAACACTCCATGGTATACCTTTAAATGTGGAATGTTTTTATTTATTTATTTATTTAGTATATTTGCCTTCACTTGTGAGAGGACAGCATAGAAATCAGCTGTGTTTACAATTCATCTTCTGACACTGCTCAGTAAGAGTATTAGGGCCTGATACTGTGATAGTTAATGTGGTCATAGATAAGATAAGGCCAAGGTGTCATAAACACACATATGTGCCATTAGTAGCTGATAATAAGTTGTACAACCCCCAACCATGACTGTAATCTGGCTCTCACAATTGTGGCGCTGTTGTAGGATAATTGTAGTGTTTTAGGCTAATACTGTAATAGTAGAAATCTGATTAATATAGCATTACAATAATATTATATCTTTACAATATACAGTTTGCTTTTCCAGACTTTATTGTGCGATAACAACTTCAACACACAGAGAATACACATTCTAACAATGCATCTCAATCAAGGGTCAATGTATGTTCTTAACCTTTTAACCTTCAGCGTACTCTCACCCAACCTCAACTTCTTAAGTAGCTGTAAAGGTAGATAATGCATTACCTTCACTCTTCTGTGTATTCTTTATCTGGTTGTTCCATTAATTGTTTGTACTATTATCATTATTATACTTAGATTGATATTCAAACCCAAGATGACATTTGTATGACTGGACCAATCAGTTAAAATTAAAATTTATATGTATATGCCTTGTACATAAGCTCAAACAGATG